ATACATACATACATACATATATATATACATACATACATACATATATATATATACATACATACATACATATATATATATACATACATACATATATATATACATACATACATACATACATATATACATACATACATACATACATATATACATACATACATACATACATACATACATACATATATATATCTTTATGAGCTTGTTGATCTTTTTTAAGTCACTTGCTCTGGTGCTGCTACCCCAGCAGATGATGGCAGAAGAGATGGCGCTCTCTACAACAGACTTATAAAAGATATGCAGCATCTTGCTGCAAACGTTGAAGGACTTCAGCTTCCTCAAGAAGTACAGTCTGCTCTGTCCCTTCTTGTAGATGGCTTCACTGTTGCATTTCCAGTCCAGTCTATTGTCCAGTTGTAATAAGATTATTTTATTAGTGTTAATGTTAACACCACCAAGAAAATTTAAATACACTGAACCATGTGTTCAGCTTTAATGGCTGTACGCCTAAGATTTACAGAGGAAAAAATTGTGAGAATGAGTTTAGTATTCAGCAATGACTGATTAAACGCGCAGATACTTCATTGCTTCTGTCAAACAGGTTACACTGAGTGGAGCGGTCGACCGTTCCAAGATGGCGGCCCTACGGCTCGTCAGGCGATAGCGGTCAATGCTGTATCTAGTGTTTATATCTATGCTGCAGAGAACCATAGATATCATATAATCACTAGATACAGCAATGACCGCTATCGCCTATTGGCGCTGACGAGCGCCATACATATCATCTCTATCATTTTTACTGTAGTTTATCATTGCCATTGTTTACTGTTCTGTCTGGAGCAGGTCTCTTGTAAATGAGTCCTTGTGGCTCAATGAAGCCAACCTGTATGAATAACAGGTTGAATAAATCATTATGTATATATTTATATTCATTCAACCTTTATTGATACAGGTTAGTCCCATTGAGCCAATAGGACTCATTTACAAGAGAGACCTGGATTTTAACAAAGAGTGATGACAACAGTGGATAACAAACTGTTTTCAATTGTAAAACAAACAATAAAAAAAATGGTCTGAATCATTAGTGAATGTGTATTGTTGTTGTTGTTATCACTGTCTTATTATCTTGTGCTCTGGTCCAGTCTCTTCATGGACGATGTGTGTGAGGGTGGACATGTTTGGAGGTTGCTGTGTTGAAGCTCCATGGATCAGCCTCTCTGCAGCTCTCAGCACCTTCACTGAGCCTTGAGGGAATCACTGAGCTGCTGCTGTTCTTCACAGTTAGAAGGTGGTAGCTCTCGTCAAATCATGATCTCCAGCATCATCTTGTTCATGCCAGGCTTTTCATCCACTGACAACAGCCACCTGTAAACATCAGGGGGACCAGCAGCTGTTTAACACATCTGGATGGAAACCAGTGAGATTTTATTATGACCATGACCATTATGATATGATGTTATGTGGGGGAGTGGTGGTGCAGAGGTTAGAAGATGGGCCTGTGATTGGAAAGTCGCAGGTTCAACTCCCGGTACCGTCAACCTCAAAATGAGGTGGAAAAGGTGAAACACCCACACCTGCCTCCACCCTCATTGGCCCACTCTGGGCCCCTGAGCAAGGCACTCAACCCCCACCACCTGCTCCTAAACAGGTCTCTCAAGAAAATGAGTTCTCGTGATTCAATGAGACTACCTGAATAAATAAAGGCTAAATGAAAAAAATAAAGGTTTAAAATAGAAATACTCTCATCGTTAGGCCAAGGTTGTGTGTGTGACGTGCACGTTCCTGAGAGGCCACAGACAGAGCAGCTCCAGCTTTTGTTGAGTTCCTGTAGACCTGCAGTTTTCAAGCTGAAATGAAAAAGCATAATGAATATGAACTTTACAGTCTATAGTTACCTGTTCATATAAACACATGGAGGTGTCTCACCTTGTGACTGACAATAAAATATGTAAATTTATGAACATTAATGAACTTATAATGATGCTCCTACTCTTTGAAGGTGAACCGATGGTACCACACCATCTCTCAGTCAGACAGTCTGATCAGTTTGATCAAAATCCTCCAGTTTAAAATCCTCACTGCTCAGATGAATCCTCCTCAAAGATACTTCCACCTCTTCCTCAGATCTTGTTCTTTGGGAAACCTTCACAATGAAAACAGGAGGTTTGTGTCTTCACAAAAACATTGTACAGAGGAGGTCAATCTTACTTTCTATTTTCCCCCTAGTTTTATTTTTTTTATATATCCTAGAACTTAAACAAAACTCAAATTATGATACATATCTCTTGATGAACCAATGCTACTGAAATAGTGAGTATGCTTGTTAGAAAAATATTCCTGTCATCAGATCTCAGTTAGCTTCATTGCAGCTGAACACCGTGTTACACTGAACATCACATCAGCTGGTGGACATAAATACAGTACAGTAATATTCTATTCTCAAAATACTAACAATACTATGTTCATCTTACTTGTGAAAAGTTATCCTCCGAGACCTGACGTCAACAGTCCGTCGATTAGAACAGAAATAAGCTGCGAAGTGCTGAAACATCTTCTGCTTTAACCAAATAGACGACCGCTCCAAGATGGCGGCCGAAAAACCTGCGCCGCAGCAGCCAATGCTGTATCTAGTGATTATATGATATCTATGGAGAAACCCTTCTCCTTTTCAATATGGCGGACCTGATGACGTATACAAGCTGATCACTAGTCAAAGAAAATGCGCATGCGCCCCTCCCATGTCGGCTAAAAACAGTAGCTAAATGAACAGCACCGAATTAAGGTCATGTGTAAAATAAAACATTTTCACCAGTAAGACCAAAGTTATCTGACCCGGATTCTGATTGAAGGTGGTTAACTGTTGGGGGCCGGGTTTCGTGAACTATCCGTTGATGATTTTTAATATTTTAGTCGCTTCAAGGACGGAGCAGCCGTTAGATGGTGTCGCTAATCCATTGCTCTGTCCTGTCTCTCCAACTCCTGCTGCACTTTGTCTGCCACAGCGTCAGAGCAGCATCCGAGGGATCCGAGTCAGGCCCACAAACACAACTTAAGGTTTGTAAAACAAAAACTAGCTGAATAAATAAAAACAAATGTGTTTGTCGCTGGGCGGAACATTTCCGACAGGTGGCGGTATAGTCCTGCGGGTCAGACAGAGATGCAGGGAGAAACCAGATGAAGTAAAAACAGAAGAACTTCAGGTCTGTTTTTATGTTTCTACTCCTTTCTGTTGATCGATTACTTACTTTGACCTTTAACAGCTGACCGTGAAACTAAGTCACAACTATTTTGTTCAAAAGAAGTTAAATCACACAAATTATTGCATTTATGGTCATTTGCTGTGGTTTTTAAGATTAACTGATTTTATCTCAATTGAAACAAGATGCTGTATACATTAGATTATGACACATAATCGTTTTGTCTCACTGTCTGACATTAAATCAGACTAAATCTTTCCTGTGTTCTGTCAGTTATTATCCTAAATGTATTTCTATTTACTATACCTTCTTCCGCCTGCACAGTATTACTAAAATTCATTCATGCAACCTTTATTCATACAGGCTGGTCTCATTGAGCCACGAGGACTCATTTACAAGAGAAACCTGATCCAGACAGAACATATAAACTACAGACAACAATAACAATAAACTACAGTAAAAATGCAGTTAAAATAAAAGTAGTGTTACAAAAGGATAAATCAGGGTGCAGTAAACCAAGGTAAAATACTAAAAACAAGAACATATTTGCTTTGATGTTTCTATTGACTTTATCAAATGTTTAAAATCCCCTAAAGAAATGAAGGTGGACAACTTCAGTTCCTGTTGCAAGGTGTTCCAACTTGCAGGAGCAGAGTAGGAAAATCCCTTTTTGCCAAGTTCACTTCAAAATGAGAAACATTTTATTCCAACATGATGCAGAAAAAACAGACCATGCATTTATCACTTCTACACTGGACTATATTAATTATTTATTGTCTAGATGTCCAACAAATCTTTACAATAGTCTCATTTGATCCAAAATGCTCCTACCAGAGTTTTGAGAGTTAGTAGGAGAGAGCATATCTCTCCAGTTTTAGCTTCTTTCCATTGGCTCCCTGTCAAATTCAGAATTTAATTCAAAATCTTCTAACATACAAAGCTCTCAACAACCTAGCTCCATCTTATAATGAAGAGCTTATTATTTTTCAAACGTAGCACTTCTTTCTGTAAGGCTGACGCTCTACTTTTAATACAAGGCTTAAGACGGTGGCACAGTCAGTTGGTAGAGCTGCTGCCTCTCAGCGAGAAGGTTGCCGGTTCAAATCCTGGTCCAGGGGCCTTTCTGGGTGGAGTTTGCATGCTTGCTCTGTGCATGCGTGGGTTTTCTCTGGGTACTCCAGTTTCCTCCCACAGACCAAAAACGTGCATGTTAGGCTGATTGGTAACTCTAAATTGTCCCTAGGTGAGAGAGAGAGAGAGTGAATGGTTGTTTGTCTCGTTTGTCTCTATGTGTCCCTGTGATGGACTGGAGACCTGTCCAGGGTGTACCCCGCCTCTCGCACAGTGATTGCTGGACATGGGCACCAGCGACCCCCGTGACCCAAAATGGAAGATTCAGGTAAAAGATAATGAATGGATGGATTATTGAGCAGCATCAGGACACCTCTGCCCACAAATCTTTAATAGGACTGAGATAAATACTTTGTAATGATCACTCACAAACATTTGACGTTCTTGTCTCTAAGCCACTATAGCCTGGTATCCACAGGTCTGGTTCTTGTTGTAGCCTGTTGTGTCCGGTTCTAGTGGGACCTCTATTTTTGTGTCTCCACTTTGCCTATAGTTCCCGTTTAGTGGGCGGATTGTTCACCTCTAGTGGGCGGATTATTAATATTACGCACCTTACCAGCTGGTGGCGGTAGTGCTACATTAAGCTCTTTTCTAAGCACCACTAACATGTATTAGAAGAAGAGCTGGAAAACAACACACAACCAAAATGGATGACCTCGATGAACTTGAAGCAGAACCAGCCGCACAGCCCGTCCTGGTCGCTGTCCCACAAGATGGAGAGCAGGGCCGAGGTGTCAGAGATGCTCTGATGGAGTACCTCATGAGCCATAACTTATCCTAATTCCACCCCTTAATCTTTTTTTTACCTCCCCAGCCTTCCTTAGATACAAGTGAACGTTAAAGTGTTGATTTGAAAATAAACATGGATTAATAATTATTCTTGTTTGTTTAATGTACAGACATGCCTTATTACCAGGTTCGTGTAAAAATGGCAAAACAAACACTGCTGCTGTGCTTCTATCACATATGCTGCGTTTTTTAGTGGCTGTAGTTTTAGAAAAACTGTAATCTCTTTAATTTTTGTTTTTAACAAAGAACCAAAACCTACAACAAGAACTTTATATTTGTTTATGCATATATACATTAATCTATTTTAATATTTATATATATATATATATATGTCTTCAGCCAGAGACTTCTTCAGATCCCTTGTAAGACAGACGCTACAAGAGATCCTTCCTGCCCACAGCCATCAGCATCTAGAACAACTCTTTAATGAAACCAGGATGATGAGTTACATTTAATTTCCCTCTGGGATTAATAGTCTTTTTGTAATTTGATTTGTATATATGTATGTATATATATATATATATACATATATATATATATATTACGTACATTACATAATAACCTACATTTGATTTGATATTTAACAACTCTTTCAGAGCTTATGCTTACCACGCAGCTCTTTAAATTAAGCTGTCGCAAATTATCTTCATGATTGAAGTGCTGTTAAGTAATATTAAGTTAGTGCTCCTTTTTACCACAGTGAAAGTCGTGGAGAGAATTTTTGACCTTGGGCGAAAAAGATGCAGAAGCTGCTGGATCCACAAGATGGACATCATGGCCGAGGTGTTTGACATGCAATGACTGAAAACCTCCTGAATGAGGATGATTGTAAACGTAGATTACACAAGTCCTACACCTTTTTAACTCCACTGCAATGTTCATTTACAACACATGGACATTCTGTATTATGGTTACGTTTTTCAGTACTCATTACAGATAAAACCAAAAAAAAATACATAAATAAAAATACTGGACTTTATTTGTAACTGAAGATGTATCACTTTTCATCCGAGGCTCTCTCAATTTAATGAAACGAGGAGTGTGATTCAAGTTATAAAGCTGTGGTGTTCCGTAAGCTTGTATTATGGAGACTAACACATGCAGATCAATCTCCAGCAAGCTTACAGAACACCACAGCTTTATAACTTTAATCCCATATTCCTTTTTTCATTGAATTGAGTGCTCCTCGGATGATTAGCGAAACGTCTTCAGTTTTAAAAAAAGTCCTGTGGTTTTGTTTTTATCTGTTTTGGGGGGGATTTGCCGTGTCAAGGATAAATGAGAATCTTCACCAGCATTGTTACAGGTAAAAAAAACAATTACTTCACTTATCCTACACTATTGACGTAAAAAAACACTGTAAGCACTTCACTTTGATGATCAGATGGAAGCTCAAGACTTGAAAATGTTTCTTTTATTAGAAATAAAGACCTGTACAAAAAAAACAATTATATACTAATTATATATGCAACCGTAACAAGCTACATGTATGGCTATTTGTGGGCTTACCTTGCAGGATCTACATTTCTATAGATCAACTATGATCTACTCTAAATATTTTTAAACATGTCTGTTTGCCATGGAACGGGCAACGAGTGCCTGATTGAAAGCAGCACTCTGTTCAGCCTCCTGCCTTCGCTGTGCTGCTTCCTCTCTGCGAACATCTGCTTCCTCTCTCCTCAAGGCCATCTCCTCCCTCCTAATTGCCTTCTCCTGCTTCCTCGCTGCTGCAGCTTCTTCTTGCCTTGCTTTTTTGGCATCCTCACAAATAAAATGGAAGTGTTCCTCTCTCTGCTTCCGGTTCATCTCCTCTTGTTCTGTATGTGCAGAAACAAAGCTCTCTGCTGCACTTGTTGATCTGCGCTTTCTATTGCCTAGGAATAACACACAAGAAAATGGCTGTTAGATGATGAAGTACAGGTAGAGTTTTTAAATAAATTATTTACATTAAAGTTCCTGCTAATTTCAAAAGGTGTTTGTTCACAAGATCAGAAATGATTCTGTTCATAAAGCAGTCTAGTACTTTAATGATAGTAAGCAGGTGGGCATAAATAAACTACATGTAGTCATTTACAACGGTTTGTGCTAATTTAGAAAAAGAACAGAGCATCGTTAATCTGAACAAAAATCACTACACCCTGTATAATTTCAATAATAAACTTCATAAATGAAAGTTTAAGTAATAAATGAATAACTAAATTTAACATTTATCCATTACAACTGAATAAACAAGTAGTTTGAATACATGCAAGGTGTTTTACAACAAATCAAAACAATATTCATATCAACATGATCAATGTCATGTTAAACACGATTGTTGCTTCTTCTTACCTAGTAACGGGTGCTGTTGGGTGCCGCTCTGCTGCGTGTTGCCCGGTGGCATAGATGTACTCGGTGGCGTAGATGTACTCTGTGGCGTAGATGTACTCTGTGGCGTAGATGTACTCGGAGCTGGTGTGGTCGGGAAGGGTCAGAAGCGGGGAGGATTGGACAGTCAAAAGCAGAATCTGGCGAACCTTCATCTTCAGTGGGACTTTCTGCATCAAAATAAGAGTGGAAAAACAGCAACAGAGTACAGTTAGCAATGATGCTAACTAATAACGACGTAACCGTCAGCCTCATTTGTTCAGAGTACTTTCAGAAAACGCAAAGAAACGGTTGCATGAGGAAAAGGAAATATGCTTAAAGTAAATAAAATACACTCACCATCAACTATTAGTTTTTTAAGCTTTCCTCTTTGCTTTGGTGTGCGATGGAAGCCCTGCACCGCCATCTGCGCAGACACCTCTTGAAAAATCTTTTCATTTCGTTTCGTTCCATCTAGCTCGCGCTGCACTTGTTCATCGGCCAGCAAACAGAGAAATGCCTGAACTTCAGCATTCGACCACGGTTGTGCCATGATTATTTGTTTTACCTTATAAAATATTCCAAAATAAG